GAATCCTAAACATGTTATGATGTTTAATATGATCCTGAATTCTTGCCAGCAGTTCATCAAAACTTTTTACTGACATCCCAAAATAATCAGAGAATTTTTCATTATAATTTCTAAGTTTTGAAAACAGAGTACTGAATTCTCCTTCAAGTAGCCTGTTAGCAATAACTGGATGTACGTGATATCTTCTTCGCTTTTTTTTTCATTCGTAATCGCCTCAAATAGTAAAGAGTAATTAAACAATTTATAAACGGATACATCACGACTATACCCTGCTGTTCCGTACGGTGGTCAGTGGAGCACTGAATGCATAAAGCCGACTGACGGTCAGTGCGTGCGTACGCACTGACCGTCAGTCCCGACCGTCAGGAGAGCACTGAATACGGCCTAAAGGAGTGGTCGTTGGCTAGGTTGTGTCCAGTGTCCAAAAGATGTTTGGCAAAATGGGATTTATCGGGATTGCAATTCCTGTACGCGGCTAAATGCTCTTTATAACGTGTCTCGAAATTGCGACCAGTCTGACCCACGTAAACGGCGTGGCATTCGTCACAAACAAGTTTGTAAACACCTGACTTTTGACGAATATCCAACTTATCTTTACTATTACAGATATTTCTAAGAGAATTGTTTGTTTTGAACGCCACATGAACGCCGTTTTGTCGAAGAGTATTAGCTACTTTTTCAGATATGGGGCCTAAGTAGGTCAAACTGCTCACATATCGATGAACACTTTGAGATTGAACCGCGTACAGAGAGTTGCGAATAACATGCTTTTGTTTCTTTTTAATTAAATTGTTAATGAGATTTTTTGAAAAACCGTTAGAGACCGCTATTTGATAAATTATATTAAGTTCTTTTACATAATTTTCTTTACTTAATGGGACAGTGAACAAACGGTTAATGTAACAATAAAAAGCGGCTACTTTATGTTGCCATGGATAACATGATGACGCGGGGATGACCGTGTCGGTGTGAGTTGGCTTTCGATAAATTTGGAAAACATGTGACGATTCTTTTCTTGTTATTGTTAAGTCAAGAAAATGAAGGGAACAATCTTGTTCCAATTCAAGTTTAAATTTAATTTTGTCATGGACTCTATTTATTTTATTGAGGAAAACATCCAGTTGTCTCCTTGTGCCAGTCCAGCAAATAATTATGTCGTCTACATATCGATAGTAATATAAGATATTTTGATTGACAACTATATGTTGTTTTTCGAAATTATCCATGAAAATGTCCGCCATAAGGGGACTTAGAGGGGACCCCATAGCTAACCCTTCTTTTTGTAGATAGAAACGGTTATTAAACCGGAAATAGTTTTGTTTCATACAGAGAGAGGTTAAGTTAAGAAGATCATTTGTTTCCCCGGGATGTAGACGACGTTTTTCAAAGAGATCTGCGAGTATACGCAAACAGTCAGGGGATGGGACATTTGTGAAAAGACTATCAACGTCTAAAGATAACAATATGGATTTAGGAGGAATACGAATATCTTTAATTTTGGAAATGAGATCTAAGCCATTTTTTAGGCTGTAAATGGGGTTGAATCCAGATTTCTCTCGAAGGAGGAAGTTTAATTTTTTAGCAAGGAAATAAGCTGGTGCACCAATATATGAGACAACTGGACGAATAGGAACATGTTCTTTATGTATTTTTGGTAACCAATATAAAATGGGTGCTTGAGGATTCATTGGAACAAGATTGCTCCGAGACATGTTGTGATCGGGAAAAACATATGATGACTGCTGTATACATAACTTAATATCCGAAGTAAACTTTTTAGTTAAGTCAGACTACTACTACTACTACAAATGAAATTCGGGCTGTGCCCGCGTCTTCCCATTTCAATCCTGAGTTCCATGTTTTTAAGTCCCTAAAGCAGAGAATAAGGGAAAACGACCTTATTGTTACTAAAGCCGATAAAGGCAATACTCTTGTTATTATGGAGAGTAGTGGGTACAGCCAGAAAGTTAACGATGTTATCCAAGGTGATGACTTTGAGCTATTGGAGTCTGACCCAACCAAAAAGTTTACTTCGGATATTAAGTTATGTATACAACAGTCATCATATGTTTTTCCCGATCACAACTTGTCTCGGAGCAATCTTGTTCCAATGAATCCTCAAGCACCCATTTTATATTGGTTACCAAAAATACATAAAGAACATGTTCCTATTCGTCCATTTGTCTCATATATTGGTGCACCAGCTTATTTCCTTGCTAAAAAATTAAACTTCCTCCTTCGAGAGAAATCTGGATTCAACCCCATTTACAGCCTAAAAAATGGCTTAGATCTCATTTCCAAAATTAAAGATATTCGTATTCCTCCTAAATCCATATTGTTATCTTTAGACGTTGATAGTCTTTTCACAAATGTCCCATCCCCTGACTGTTTGCGTATACTCGCAGATCTCTTTGAAAAACGTCGTCTACATCCCGGGGAAACAAATGATCTTCTTAACTTAACCTCTCTCTGTATGAAACAAAACTATTTCCGGTTTAATAACCGTTTCTATCTACAAAAAGAAGGGTTAGCTATGGGGTCCCCTCTAAGTCCCCTTATGGCGGACATTTTCATGGATAATTTCGAAAAACAACATATAGTTGTCAATCAAAATATCTTATATTACTATCGATATGTAGACGACATAATTATTTGCTGGACTGGCACAAGGAGACAACTGGATGTTTTCCTCAATAAAATAAATAGAGTCCATGACAAAATTAAATTTAAACTTGAATTGGAACAAGATTGTTCCCTTCATTTTCTTGACTTAACAATAACAAGAAAAGAATCGTCACATGTTTTCCAAATTTATCGAAAGCCAACTCACACCGACACGGTCATCCCCGCGTCATCATGTCATCCATGGCAACATAAAGTAGCCGCTTTTTATTGTTACATTAACCGTTTGTTCACTGTCCCATTAAGTAAAGAAAATTATGTAAAAGAACTTAATATAATTTATCAAATAGCGGTCTCTAACGGTTTTTCAAAAAATCTCATTAACAATTTAATTAAAAAGAAACAAAAGCATGTTATTCGCAACTCTCTGTACGCGGTTCAATCTCAAAGTGTTCATCGATATGTGAGCAGTTTGACCTACTTAGGCCCCATATCTGAAAAAGTAGCTAATACTCTTCGACAAAACGGCGTTCATGTGGCGTTCAAAACAAACAATTCTCTTAGAAATATCTGTAATAGTAAAGATAAGTCGGATATTCGTCAAAAGTCAGGTGTTTACAAACTTGTTTGTGACGAATGCCACGCCGTTTACGTGGGTCAGACTGGTCGCAATTTCGAGACACGTTATAAAGAGCATTTAGCCGCGTACAGGAATTGCAATCCCGATAAATCCCATTTTGCCAAACATCTTTTGGACACTGGACACAACCTAGCCAACGACCACTCCTTTAAAGTCTTACATACGTGTAATAAAGGGCTGCGGCTGTGTGTGCTGGAACAGTTAGAGATATTAAAAAGTAATAATAATACCGTTGCATTGCTGAATGAACAAACAAATGTTACTAACTCACCTCTCTTAAATATCTTCAAGCCTGCTCTCTAATAATGTGGGCGTTGCGCGGCGGTTTGTTTTTAATTTTACAAACGGCTGCGTAAGTCCAGCGGTGATTGGTCGCATGTTTTATCGCATGACGGAGTCGCTCGCTCCTTAGGTAGAGAGCGGTTGCATCATCGGTTTGTATAAAAGGCACTTGTTTTGGCTCGCCGCTCACTTAGCGGTTAGCCACCGTAGAGTCTATATCACCTGAGGATGCCACGTGTAGAGGCGAAACACGTGTCGTATTATCGTCAGTGGTGTGTCTTGCCTAGTGTAGTGGTGTTGGAAGTAGTGGTGCTGGGATTAGTGGTGACGGGGATAGTGCACGCAATTGAGGGAGGGCGGGTGGTGCTTCTTCATACTAGGTAAGACACATCATTTTATTTTATAACGCGGATATTTGCGAAGTAAATTTTTGTAAAAGCTTTTATATAATAGATTTCCGCAAAGTAACGCCTGATTCTATTAATTATATTATATATATATCCCCCATATTTTGACCGCCCCACGCGCACTACACCTTTACACCCCGCAGTACCTTCCCTCGGTCCCTTGCACTATCCCGCAGTGTAGCGCAAGAGCGCGCGAGGTGCACTCGTTTCCCGTCATGCTGCAGTTGACGTCTCACAGACGCAAGGTCGGTACTTATGTTATTTTCTCTTTGTGTCTGAAAGACGCCTGCACAGTTTTTCTGTATTTTTTACTAAACGTCTCGTAGTCGTCACGACGGTATATGCAATAATGATTATTTACGTTTTTAGATGTCGGAATCTCAAGCATCAACTTCAAGAAAACGGAAATATCAGCGTGATCGAAACGCGCAACCTATTCCTGTTGAAAATTTAGCTGATGCTGTTCGTGACGTGATCGAAAGGGAAGACCGACCGAAGCTATGTATTGGAAGAAGGCGAAGAGACGGATTCGGAGCAGTCGGAATTAGAAATTGAGGATATCCATGACATGAGCACTGAACAAGAACAAGTATACTTTCCTCGATAATACCTTAGTGTTACCCAAAGCACCCCCAAACTCAGGGTGTTTACACATTATGCCGCAGCGGCAGCGGCACCGCCGCCGTCGCGGCGCCACTGCTATAGTCTCCCTTGAATTTGTATGGAGCCTTACACATGACGCCGCGGCGGCGGTAGCGAGTCTCTGTACCGCGGCGGTAGTGACAAGCGGTGTCGTAGTTCTCAACTAATATAAGAGTTTAGTTGGTCGTTTACACACGGAGAGGAAGGACGTCACGCGCGGTGCATGTCAAAGAGTATTTGCAGAATGGACATACCTGAATTTATTAAGAACATAGATATGGACCAATTAATCTCACTGGATCGCGAAAGACCAGTCTTGTGGGACAAATCTTTAGAAGAGTTTAAATATGAGAACATTTCGAATGCAGCATGAAAAGATATTTGCTTAATATTATATTCCGATTTAGATGTGCTCAGTGAAAAAGACAAGGATATTTTTGGTAAGATTTATTTATTTATTGTTTGTTTAAAAGACATCTCATAGAATGTAATTTTTGCATTGTAAAACTGCTCATATTGCGTACGGCATAATGTACTCTGTTGTTGTTGTTCTGTCTTCTGGGCAAATAAAGTTTAAAATATTACTGGGCGAGGTTATGATTACAAGTAGATAGGTACGAGGGCGGTACTGAAAATTTCGGGAATCAAGGAAGTGACACAACATTACTATTTAAAAATGTATTTATTGCTTTTCGAAGTATTCTCCGCGAAATTTGACACATTTTTCCATACGATTGAACCAATCATTGAAGGAACTATTCCATTCGGAAGTTGGGGTCCCCAAAATGGCCGTTTTGTAGGCGTCCACAGCTTCTTCAGGTGATGAAAATCTCTGTCCACGCAATTTATTCTGTATTTTAGGGAAAGTATAGAAATCATTAGGGCTTAGGTCGGGGCTGTACGGCGGATGGTCTAATAATTCTATGTTTTCTTGCTCTAAAAACCCTTTTGTTCTGTGTGCGGTGTGAGAACTCGCATTGTCGTGATGGAGGATGATGCGGCGGTTGCAGTTCTCTATCTTCTCCTCTAATATTTACTTAAAATACATAATTATTTAATTTGTATGTATGAAGAGACATCAAAGCCGAGCCCGCACTAAAGCGGCAAAATTAAAAAGAGAAAAGATGCAGACCGGCAACCGAGGGATCACTACTGCTCCGCTGACTGAGATGGAAAAGAAAATTGTATCGTTAATAGGTGTTGAGTACACATTTGGTAGCGACTGCCCTGACTTTATGCCAGAGGAAGAAGTGAGTTCAGTAGCGTGTAGTATACTCTTAATAATTACTTATATACAACAAGAGACTGGGATGGAAATGGTAGAAGTTCTTTGTCTCAATGTACTGTTTCTAAGATATATTAAAAATATAATGTAAATTCTGTTGCAATTTAAATGTACTTACCTACAATGTATTATAACACAAATTTCAATTACAGCTAATGAATATAAGTTGCTTGAGACAGAGAGAGATCAAGCATTGTCAGCACCACAAATTAGTAAATTTATGTTATTTTTATTACACATACATACCTCTCTAAATGATTATATTTCACTAATATATTTAATGAATTTGATTATTTCAGTAGCAAATTGCAGCAGAGCAACAGCCGTTGCATCACCAGCACCCACTGAACAACAGGTGCAAGAAGTAACTATGTAGTCACCAGTACCACAAATAAGTAAGTTTGAGCTTTGTGATTCATTTAATTCCTATTTACATACATTATATATTTCTGTGCTCCGCTGTTTTATCCACTATTTCAAGATAAAATGGTCTAAGTGCCAAAGGACAATGCCAGAATCTTTATAAAACTTTGCCCCACCTAAACGTGTGGTGTACACCAATGCCGTATGCGTAATTTTTTTGCTGTTTTATTACTTCATCCAAATTCTATTAGTTAAAGTTTCAAGAACGATTCTATTTTAAATTGAACTTTGATCATTGCATTTACCTTATGTTTTATAACAGCGTTCGTTGCATTTAATTGTGACTGAAATCTGTAAATTGTCAGATAAAATGTGTAAATAAGGATTTTACGGACCGAAATAAAACTTTCATTGGATTTGTATAAAACAATTATATGATCACCGATATTTAAGAAGGGGTTCTACTGTTTTGGAGTTAAAAGATCTTGACAATATAAGATAACCACGATATAAGATAATAGAAGATAACCGAAGTTAAACGAACTCCACTGAAGATCCGAGAACGGTTTTACTGGGACGATGTTGTACATGTTCACGCATTGCAGACTTCCGGGAACGTCGGTGCTTCAAGTCAGCTATATGTTCTTTTTGTTTGTCCTATGTAAGAGAGATCACATTCACAATCTAGCTTGTACACTCCTGCATCTTTTAGAGGGATATGACACTTGACGAATGGCAAAAATTTATTAATCTTCTTCGGCGGCTTGAAATATGTTTTAATGGAAGCTCCTCTGCTCAAATAGTGTCATAACTCAAAAATATCAAAATTTTTTTTATTGTTTCGTTAGGTTCAGATTACTCTATTTTCGTACCAATGAGTAATTCAGAATAAGTTTTTGTTTTGTTTGTTAATGTTTTTGTTTTGATAAAATGACTTTCAAAAAATAATATATGGTAAAATATTCTTTCTTTTATCTATAGTATAGTGTTACAATTACAAATATACGATTTTTTTTTCATCTATTGATACCAAATACTCCATTTTGTAGAGCACCGATCACATTAAATTTAAAACCATTAAAATTTAATGTGATCATTATTACGATAATTTTCATAGTTTCTGAGTTATGTCCCAGAATTTGAAAAATAAAGTTCGAGCAAATTTTAAACACATTTTTCTCGACGATTTGTATTTTGGAATTATGATGCTATTTGAGTGGAAGTGCGATATAATTTTCTCTGCCAAGTTCAAAATATACATTTTAAAATCTGCACGCCTAAAACTATTTTCCGTAATTGCATAACAATCCAGTTAATAGTTTCCATGTGAAATAAAGAAATACAATAAATGTATTACTTAATGATTAATTTCAGAATGTACAACAGTCCAGTGAAGCAACTGCACAGCCAAAGTTAAGAGTGCCACTGTCTGAAATTGAAAATATTGTAGTGGAACCGGTACAAACCAGTGCAATGTCATCAACACAAACTTTAGTGGATGTCCCGAGAACAACTGGATTCATTGACAGCGTGCACAGGTAATACATTTTCGATTTTTTTGTTTTATATAGTATCTTTTTAAATAATAAGATAGAGAGGAGTACCTAATAATATGTGGTTCAAGTATTTATGTGGTTTTACTTAATTTATGAGTTTGTGTGAACTATGATGCTTTCACTGTACTTTTTTTTAACAAATTCTTTTACATTAATAATTTTTTACATATTATTGGCTGTAGTAGGTCATACAGATCATTTATTTTGGCTTCAAATTAAGATTTTAATATTCAAACAAATTTGTGATTATATATAAGATATTTATTACCAACTGACGAATACCTTACAATTTTAAATTATGTGAGTTCTGGTATTGGTCCCTAAGAGTGAATATTTATAATTTCAGAATGCACCAATAACTGAAAACCTCAATGTGGCAACCTGTAGCAAGTCAAATTTAACCAAAAAACGTACTAAAATCCTAGCTAACCTTGGTGTCACAAAAGTAAGCCAAATGACACCAAGAGAAATAAAATTATATAAAATATACAAAAATAAGATGCATGAGATAATACGATTACGTAACAAAATTAAGAATATTAAGAGAGGGAAGATAATGAGAGTTTTAGGAGATCAAAATGTTGAAGAATTGTCTAATTTAAATATTAGCAATTCATTCATAACTTTATTACAAAGCCAGTTACAAAATTGCCCAAAAAAACCAAAAGGGAGAAGATATACTTTACAACAAAAAATTCAGGCTTTGTTAATTTATAAAAAGTCCCCAGCCTGTTACAGATTACTGAAGAGAATGTTTGCTTTACCTTGTCAAACAAAATTAAATCAACTCCTGAATAAAGTGCCACTAAAACCAGGCATAAACAAACATATATTTACCTCATTAGAAAAAATGAGCCGGAACCAGGATAAAGAAGACTATTTGCATTTTATCGTTTGATGAAATGTCTATAAGAAGACATTTGTATTACAATCAAAAGCTGGATGAAATACAAGGATTTCAAGACCATGGCAACCATGGTAGTACTGAAGATATTGCCTCTAAGGCTCTGGTATATATGCTCACTGGGTTGAGAAAGAAGTGGAAACAGCCCATCGCATTTTATTTCTCCCATACTATAAAGGCAGATAGAATCACAATAATTTTAAAAGAGGTAAAGTATAGTAGACTTTTTTGTAACTTTTATTACAAGACTGAAAAATATGTATGTGTATGTTTCAAATTTACACTTGTTTTCTTCTTTTCAGATACTTACAAAATGCATTGCAGCAAAGATGAATATGGTTGCTACTGTCTGCGATTTATCAGCTGTGAATCTCAAAGTTTATAAATATTAGGTGCAACATCAACTGCACCATTTTTTAATTTCTGTGGATAAGAAATTGTGTCTATACTAGATCCTCCACACCTTTTAAAGTGCACCAGAAATTTGTTAATGAAGCATGATATTGAAGTAACCTCAGATTTTCAATGCAATAAGAAGCCTGTAAAAGGTAAATAAAATATTTTAGTTTTGAAGATTTGACCCATATCATTTTTTTTAAATTAAAGTCTTGTTGTGCAGATAATATACATAATGTCTACACAAAAAGAGTCAAATTATGTACTTACTATATAATATCTTATATATTTTTTTAGGTACAGCGAAATGGAGCCAGATTGAAACATTTTATCAGTTGGACAAAACCAACCCCAATTTAGTTTATGCTCCTCAACTGACAGATAATCATTTGCGTCCAAATTGTCAGCAGAAAATGAGAGTAAAGTTAGCAGCACAAGTGTTTAACCACTCTGTTACAACTGGCATGTTAATGAAAATTGCTCAAAGTAAGTGAATTTATATATCTCACAGTCAATACTGATTCCCGGTCAGCTGCACCTTAACCTATTGAAATTTGGGCCAAACGCCATGAACATGTGTATTTTTCAGTGAAAAGTACCTTTGACAGTTAGAGATATTTAAAGAATCTTGACTGTAACAAATACTTACATGAGTAATTAAGTTTGAATGTTGTCACAGACTGCTAACTTTGTACCTTGCCGACTGAAAACTTGGGTAACCCCATTGTCGATACTAATATGAACCTGAGCAAGTTTGCCTAAATGTTATTTAACAACAGAAATAAACAAAACTACCATTAAAACAGCTTGACTTTCTGAGAATCAAGTGAAATCACAACCACGTAGTAGAGCCATGCTGCAGCTATATTAGTAGTATAGTTGTAGCACAAATGGGTCAGCACGACCGGGGAAGGACCACGCTCTCACAGAATACCGGCGTAGAATAGCAGCTTAACACTGCTGTGTTTCGTATGGTGATAAGTATGGTGGCGTAAGTATGGAATAAAGCTCTTTAAACTGTGCTGTTTACTAGGATATATATACTGAGTTAATATATACGCTGGCAAACAACATGAGCAAATAAATATTACACCTCAAAGTGTTGTAAAGAACCTTTGCCAAGATCTTCTGAATAAAGGGCATTGCTTGTACACAGATAATTGGTATACAACTGTAAGTTTAGCTAGAGAGCTCATGAAAAACGAAACACATTTGATCGGAACTTTACGCAAAAATCGCAAACATTTCCCTAAAGTTATTGTTTCCACCAAGCTCAAAAAAGGCGAGTTTATTGCCAAAGAAAGTGATGACGGTATAACCGTTTTAAGATGGAAAGATAAGAGAGATGTTTTAGTCCTCTCCACGAAACATTCAACGCGTTTTCTGCCCATCAATAAACATAATAAAAACAACTATGAAACCGGCTATAGTTCTTGATTATAACAAAGCAAAAGGAGCAGTGGATCTTTCGGATCAGATGGCGGCGTACCAAACACCACTAAGAAAATCTTTGTTAAATGGTACCGAAAACTTGCGTTTGATTTAATTTTGAATGTTGCCATGGTGAATGCTTTGGTCTTACATAAATCTGTCACTAACAAAAATTTATCTATTGTGGAGATGAGAAAAGAAATTATGAAGAGTTAACTAACTAATTCATCTACATTTGAAGCTTCTTTAGAGCGGCCGATAAGAAAAAAACATGTGCTTCAGAAGAAGGAAGGTCCTTCTCTAAAGGTGCGTCGTATGTGTGTAGAGTGCCAGAAATAAAACAAAAAAAGTTCCCACTTATTGTGACACTTGCGTAGAGAAACCTTTTCTGTGTGTTGAGTGTTTTGCTAACATTCATAAATAAATTTTATGTTTCTTAGTAGGTATATAAATATATTTTTTAAATTATGAATATTAACTACTAAATTTTGCAAAATTTCTTGTACTTTTTCAAAATTTCATTTTTATTTCTTTGATTAATAATTAATACGTTCTTTGTTTTTGTTTCGATGTTTATTTTATATGCAAAACTTACTTCAATAAAGTATAAGCTCCCCATAATATAAAGAGTTTTTCATTTAAATTTTTACTC